AATTATAGTGTTCGTTCAGTTATAGTAAACAAAAAATGGAATGTTCGTTATGATATAATTGGATCGAAATAAGCAGATATATTATATATAATATATAATATAATACTTTTTAATGATAATTTTTAAGATGAAACAAAGTAAAAATTAAAAATAAAGAATGTACATTAAAATTGTCTAATATAGAAAAGCGGCAGTTCAAAGCAAACTAAAAAACAAACAAAATAGGTTTTTAATTGACTTTAATTAAAGATGTTGTAAGACTCGATCTCCTTCAGGTAAGAAAGATGTTCCAAGTTTTCCGAGCGTAAAAACAGAAGTTTTTACTGTTTTTCTTGTTGTTTTCAGCTGAATTTGATTATAAAATATAAAAATAGGAATATTAAGGTTTTTGCATCATGAAAAAAAATGGACAAATTTGTAAGCTAAATTAATTTTAAATATTTTATAAATTAAGTAATTTTTTAAATATTTTTTTCATATTTTTGAAAACAAAACATCTCAGGTTCCAATAAAATTTTAATTCGAGAATAATAAATTTTTTTATAAAAAAAAATTGAATAATCCAAAAGTGAAATTTATCGTACGATAGTCTTTATCTCGGCTATCTATTAACGCCACTATGGAATTTTTCAAATCTTTAATTGATTTCTATATTTTAATAGAAATATTTTGTGTTTTAAAAATTTTGAAATTAATAATTTCATTTTAAAAAAGCGATTTTATAAAGTATTTTATATTTTTTTAAATTAAAATTAAATTAAACTTCATCTGTCCAGATAAGCACTTCGTCTTCTCACAGCACGTCAATTATTTCTTAGAACAATCTCACTTATCCATCCAATTTCGCCATTCCTCGCGCTTTTTAACGTTTCCCACTCTTGGTAGCAGCGTCTATAATGTCTCAATCTCTTGCTGCTCAAAATGATAGGAACAGTGGATTTTTTTTTAATTTTCTTCAAAACAATTTGGCCATATTAAATAATATTCACACAATATATTTCTAATAACATGTAAAACACAATAATGTAAACAAATTTGTTTAAAGCGTTATATGTCTTAGATAACAGAATAATAATGATTTCAATGATTTAAATGCTGGATCAAAATGATAGAAACCAAGGAGAAAAAATTATTTTTCAAAGTGTATAGTGAATAGAATAACTGTCAATAGAGACACCTTGCATTCATGGATTTACTCAAAGATTTTAACAAATTTTCATTAATTTTGTCACACTGCATTAAAATTTCATTTTTTAAATCGGTTAGATTTTCAAATTCTCTTCCATTGGTTTAAACTTGTCTGTCTAACTAAACACAGACTTAAGAGTTTTTTGAACAAATTTCCAACATGACGAAGTTGGTTCAGTTTAATTTAATAAAAAAAGATGTTTGGTTGACGGCTGTTTTGGGCCGGCATGCTAATGCCATCTTCGGAGCATAAAATGTTGAAATGTTAAAATCGTATAGAAAACTAATAGCGAGAATAAAACATAAAATGTAAATGTTAATAAATGTTTTTGCAGTGAATATGAGATTATTACCTAAAAGTAAAAAATATATTCACTGAATAAAAATTAAAAATTCATAGTAAAAATAACAAGTCTAAAAGGTTTCGGAGTTGTCTGCACGTAGTTAGTGAAATGAGAAGTAATTCAATGAAATGGTACACGCGTAGCGATAAATATGGAAGGACAATGGATGGATGGATGTTGAAGAAATAACTTTTTAAAGTAGTTTTTAATATTAGAAACAACGTTTGTATTGGTTGTTGTAACACGTGCAATTCATACACTTTCTTACGTGCATTCCTGCAGCCAAGCACAAAACTCGATTATGTGAGTATATTTATTGCAGATCTTAAAAATAGAAGTTAGTGAGCATGGGACGTCAGTTTGGCGGCGAAAAGATACGGACCGATGGGTGGATGATCAGCTATGGTAGGGTGCAGTACGATGGTATTTGTGTTTGATAGGAAAAAGGTGCTACAAAGTCTCCATATCGAGTGGAAATTTGGAGGGCGCAGGGAAAATTATCTACCTGATTGTTGGTTTGTTAGCGAGAACGAAAAGGGCTTATTTAGTTAGAGTCGTGCAGAATTAGAATAGTGGCAGAGATCAGAGTATGGCTGTGTTGTTGTCGAAGACTGTTCCTGTGACTGATATGTTATGTCCTTTCTTGAAGTGGTCCTTGGTGGGCATGCATTGTGTCTAATGCATTATCCACAACAAAATTAGCATCTAAATTGGACACGAAGATTTTTCAAGGTTGTTTGTTGTAGTGGCCAGGCTGTTTATGATAACAAGCTGTTGTGTTCTGCTGGTCTGATCGTAACCTATTAATAACTTGATAAGCTTGCTTCTGTCGGTGGCGATGAGATTTGATTTGATGATCCGTTCTACAAGTTAAATTATATTTTTTATAAAATAATTGATAATTGTCTAACTGGTGAAATAGAAATTAACAGTGTGAATACATACCTGGTTACTAGATGATAAAATTGTTGATGAATAAATACAAGGAGTCTGTGAAGAAGTTGTAATAATAACTACTGGCGCCCCATTGGAAACCTTTAGTAATGTTGTCTAAGAAGACCTCAAGATGTTATGAGTAGCTAAAAGGGTTAAAGGTCTATTGCATTTTATTTAAGCTAAAAAAGTCATCAACACACAAACAGCTCACATGAATACATGCTAAACGAAGCATCACGCCTATACGCCTGTAGCATGTTAGGCGGGGATCTTTTTGTCATATTCGAACCCAGTAACTGCGAAACAGCACGAAGCAACCTTAACTAGTCGGCCATCAAGTCGAGTTACGAAACAAATACATAAAATAATTTTGTAAGATATGAATTAATCAGCTGTGTTCCGAAAAGAGTAAAAATATTTATTTTCTATCTTAAAAAAATTACGAGCAGGTAGAATGTTAAACTATGAAGAGCATAACTTGCTTCTCAGGAGTCACGATTAAAATCTAGCAGCAGTGTCATTTACATCCATGCACGCATATATACAGATGCTCTTACACACACATACACACATACAGAGATGCACACATAGACACAGAAAGACAGGCATAACAAATTCATAAAATAAAAACATGACATGACGTGTACGAGTATGGCTTCGTGTTGTTAAAAATGATGTTGTCATTAAATTTATGATCGTCCACTTTTAAGGCTTCTAAGCAGGGGGCTTTTAAGTTTCATTTCTTTTTTATGTGCATCGCAACAATTCATCTTATTCTTTGTATCATCACTTTCAATGTTTTCGCGCTAGTTTTCACCAGAAGATAAACAAAAAACAACATACGCAGGGCTTTATTACATTAAACGTCACGTTTCAAGGCGTAAAAAAATTTTAATTTTCGAATTTGCAATGCATGAAATTATTTTATGAAATTTTCATATCGAAGTCGCACTGAGAAACCTTCGATATATTATGATTAGGAGCTTTTTAAAGTTTCTCAACAGTTGCCTGTTAAAAAATTTCTTGCCACACGTCAGTCTGGCTGGCAATGAACCTGCGCGAAATTTATACATTATATTCGTACTTCCTTCATTCAACTTTGTTTAACTATGTTATTAACTCAGTAATATTTTCAAGTTTAAACACGACAGCATTATTCAATTTAAATACATATTTGTTGATTCGTTTAGCTCAATTTCATCAAATATGCCGTTTATATGTTTTGTTTGTTTTGCTCTGATAGCCTGCATCACAAACAACTCGGAAATGTTTTTGGAGTCTTCAGTGATATTTTTATGAAAAGTAACAACGGCGCCCTGCAGTTTGTGTTTCTAATTTTGCAGGCCTCTCTGACGTGGGCGGGCTGCCGGCGGCAACGAACAAAGAATGTTGCAATGTTTCAAATGAGATGAAAATGTTGTGAGGTGAGGAGATTGAAATTTCTAAAAAGATATTTCAGCAGTTTTCATAATTGTTGAAATAATTTATCTTGCAGATTTTATTACATATTTGAAAATTGAACATTCACTTGCATTTCAATTGAAGTCGTCATAAATTCGATTGAACAAACATCTGTCTTGCAACTTACAACAGAGTAGATTGTTCGGACTAATAGCCATCCACCCAGTTACGAGCAATCTTGCAAGGAAGTTTCACACCGAACAAATATTTATAAGGACACGAAAAACCCGTAGATGTAAATAATTTATAAAATATAATTTTCTATTGACCTTTTAATGCTGCAGTTAAAAACACAAATATATATCTACGAACGAAACTGTCATTTGGATGACCTCATACGATGGCGATATGTGCATATTACTTGCAATAATGTAATTTAAATTTATATTGCACAGTGAAACAACACTCTATAAGGTAAAGACGTTAGAAAGTGATGGAAAGTAAAATCGTTCGTTAAACCGTTGTTCATCTGCTCAATTTGGTTCTGTTATATTGTGCTTGGTGCATTGTGTTGTTTGGCTGCATTGTGTTGTTTGGCTGCATTGTGTTGTTTGGCTGCATTGTGTTGTTTGGCTGCATTGTGTTGTTTGGCTGCATTGTGTTGTTTGGTTTCAATAAATGTCAAACGATTGAATTACAGCGCTCTCATAAGTTTGCTGAGTGTATCATCTAACAAAAGTGGTAGCTAAAGACATTTTATTAGTTGTTTGAGATCGGAGACGAAGCCAAGTGTGGATACTTGCCAGGAATAAATTTGAAGCCTTTGGATTTAAGATAAAAAGGAAAGACAATAAAATCTTCATATTTCTTGAGTAGTTTACAATGCAACTAACTTTCTTCTTCCATAGGTGCTGTAAAATCAAAGCCGAAAGAGATAATAACAGTTGTAAAAAAAAAACTTGAAAACATCAACTATTTTCAAATATAAATAATGAGCTATAAAAAATTTTAACTTGCTTGAATTCAATAAATTTACACTAAATGCCTAAAAATCCCTCTTTGAAGTCTTTGGACCTAAGATAAAAACATATTATGTAGGTTTTTTGCAAAACAATTTAAAATAGACTTAGCATGTCAATGCAGTGTTCAGTAGTTATACAAAGTAATCGGGGTTTTCAAGAGATTCCAGAAGAAACTTGTTTCGTTCAACTTAAAAAGAGTTTCCTCACCTTGAACCTGAGTGAAGCTGCCGACGAGTACGGTTCGGACATGGATGTAGAAATCCAAGCTGATAAGTTTTATGTTAGTAAGATGACTAAATGAGAAAACTTTGAGAATGACGAATTTTTTGTAGATGGTGTGGTTGATTTTGCCAACAACGTAGTGGGAGGTTGTGCTTGTTGTGCAGGGAGGAGGAGTGGACAGAGAGGTTCTGCTTATTTTCAATTGAACGACCACACGTACAAAGTTAGAAAAGAGATGCAGTCGCTGTACATTTCAACAAAGCAGAAGGAAGATGCCGATGCGCGTTCGACAATCGGAAGGCAGGCATGACAGCAGCGGCAGTTGGCGACATTCATTTCATCGCAGAACTTTTTTTCAATGCAATTGAAAATGTACAATGTACATGTCGTGAAGCTTTCTTTGTCAAAAAGTTTTCATTCAATGACAACTGCCCGTTTGCGTAGATGACTCCTTGTAGAAGGACAATTTATCTTCGAAGTGCCGTGCACATATTGCATTCATTGGGGTCGTGGTGGGTGATAATTGATTGCAGCAAAAGTCACAATGCTCTATTTGTTTAAAAATTGTATTACGTCATTTCTAAAAATATCAATTCCACCCAACCAGCATTACTTATCGCGGAGTACGTTAAAAATGAAAGTAAATTAAAGAGGTGAATAAACTATCGACATTATGTACTCATATCTGTTCATATGCATGCAAGTGCCTGCGTTTATATATTATATATATATATATATATATATATAATATACATATGTGTGTGTGCGCGTGTGCGTGTTCATATGTGTGAATGGGTGCGTGTGTGCAGAGCATCCGTTGAACTTGGCGAAGATCACGTTGGAACAATAAAATGTTGAAGGAATGATGGCTCCACAAATACAGATCTCTACTTAGTTTCTTTTTATTTCTCACCCAGCCAACCAAATTAAGTTTTTGTGGAAATAAAAATAATTTTACTTTGAAACGTCTCAGATGCTTATTTATTTTTTCTTATATTTGTATTTGCTTGACATTGTGGTAGCTATTTTGTGTTTCAAAGTTGGATGTAATTGTTAGCTTGCAGTATTGTAGTGTTGCACTATATACATCGCAATGTTTTGCAAGTTAAAATTTTTTTCAAACTGAAAAAATATGAATGAAAAAAAATTTCTCGCAAGAAAGCAAACGAAAGAAAATAAGGTCGGCGATGATGGAGTCAGTGAGAGTGTCGCTCGGAAGGGCGTGATCTGCCAGTAGGTGGCTGACGATGTGATCATCATCCTCCTCCTAATCATCATCATCGTCGTCATCGTCGTCATCGTCATCATCACTGTCACGTATCTTATTTTTTGCTGTTTATTCATTTGTCATCTGTTCATTTGTTTGTATGTTGATTTATTTGTCAGTTTGTTTGTTTGTTGTGTTTTCGTAAATTGAGTTGCCGGTTTGCTGGTTATCTATCTATTTTGTAGTAACGTGGTGATGATGACAATGGTGAAGACAATGGTATTGATAATGATGACTCTGATGATCATAACGATCATGACAATGACGTCGATGGCAATGATGAAGAAGATGATGATGACGACGATGATGATGAAGATGACGATGTTGAAAATGATGATGATAACAAGTATGATGAAGAAAATGACAACACTCTTGACGATATAAACAATGACCGCTTAGTTGCTAATGATGGAGGAAATAAAAAAGAATTAGCAGCGTTTCAATTTCAATCAATTAAAAGACGTACCTTCCATTCATTTCAGTTGCACAATCCATCCAAGGTATTCATTCCAATGAATCATTGCATCGTGTTATACAAGTATGATTATGTCTGAATGCATTCCTTGTTTCATCCTCAGCGGTGTCTGGGGGATCAACAGTTGGCGCTTTTCAAATAATTCTAAAATAAAATAGCTTAAATCATCTTTTAAAGAATTGGTGAATAGTAGACAAATGGAATGGAACACCAAGTAGTGACAATTTATGGAGTAGGTTGGCATAGCCGGATGATGGATGCATGAAGATGAAAACAGATGCATGATGATGAACAGAACATAGATGCTTGATGATGAACAGAATGTAGATGCATGGTAATGAACGTAGATGCATGATAACGAACACAATCGACCGTACAGCTGAACGAGGATGTTTGTCTTTGGCTGATGAAGTTAAGGTAGATACGTTGTATGGGGAAAGCGACAAACTTGATGCACAAATGGACTTGTGACGAATGTAACTGAAAGAATATAAATTATCTTCGGTAGAGTTTTTCTAAACATGTTGTAGAAGAGATAAGAAAGTAAACTGTAGGTTTGAGGATAAATTGATATAATTTAAATAATAAAAAGTAAATTTTGAATAAAAATTTACATTAAAGATGTACGGTGAGCCCAGATGTCATCAAATATGTTCACAGCTGAAAGTTTCACCAATTCATCGATCCGTGCAAATTTCTGATTTCAACATTGTCTCACCGATTAATTTGATACAATGTGTTGTCATTTAGAGCGAGTTATTATTCAAAATAAATAAATGTGATCAACCTAGCAAGCAAACTACTCGCTCGCTTCGATCGAAGGGTCTCCGATGATGACCTAAAAATGACGTTTGATAGTGTCGAAACGAGGAAAGTGCAAACTGCTTGGACGATTGAATAACGAAATGATCGATTGAACGGATAATCAAATGATGCGCTTAAATAATCAAATAATCTTAATCTTGGGCATAAATTGGATTAGTGGCAATTTGTAAATTTGTCGTACGTTTGCATCCTAATGAACTCTCTCTCTCTCTCTCTTGCATAGCAGCACGGAACTAAATTGAAATGTACGTTGTTTTATACTTGCTATGAATCAAAGGTAAAGAATCAGAGATATGCTGGCTGGCTGGCTGACTGGCTGGCTGGCTGGCTGACTGGCTGGCTGGCTGACTGGCTGGCTGACTGACTGGCTGGCTGGCTGACTGGCTGACTGTATGTTAAAAGGAAGTGAGGCAGGAAACTACGTGCGACTTTAACGCTTTCTCTTATTTAATAAAAGAAGCAATTTGGTTCAATTGTTTATACGGCAGCATCTAGCATGGACGTTGATGATGACGATGAAGATGATGCCAAGGCAATTTGATGATGAAGTTGACGATGATGAAGAAGTTGATGACGATGAAGTTGATGATGATGAAAATGATGAAGATAACAATGAAGGTGATCTCGGTGTAAAATGCTTGCGTTGATGAAGGAAAAGATTGCCAGTGGTGAAGAAGAGACCGACAATGGTGTTGGTGGGACCAGAATGATGGAGGTCGTGCAGACGATGAGGAAGATTTAAAAAAAAGACTGACAATGTTGCTGAAACGTTTTAACACTGACAAAAATATCAAAATTGATAAAAATGAGCACCTGCATCTTTGTTGACATGTCCGACAAAAACGTAAAAAAATTAATAGTTGTATTAACTTTCAAAAACGCTACGAAAGAAAACTATTTATACAAAAATTATAACCTAAAATGAGTAGTAAACCTTTCGCAATTAAAATGCAAGTGTTCATAAATCTTCGTGAGACCATATGTTGAATCAGGTTGTGATACGATGAAGAAGAAAATGAATGCTCCATCATCACATCACAGCCACACTGAATTGCGTTCATCATTTTTGTGGCATCCTCCTCCTCCTCATCATCATCATAAATCATGGAGCCGTATTTGAACTATAAGGTGGTTCCCTCCACGCCACACCACCAGCAGCGGGCCAACAGACAACAGACGGACAGCAGGCAAGCAAGGGGAGGCCTACGCAATCAAGTTTACGACTTGTTATCTAGGAAGTATATTGAGACAGGCGGTGCGTGTACGTCTGAACTTTTATTGCCGCATCCAGTGCTCTTTATGTTGCGTTTATAACGAAGAAGGTGACAATACATACGTACGAACAAATGTTGGCTCGCTTCTTTACGCTCCTCTCTGCCTTCTTTCTCTTCTTTATGAAGCCCCAACCTCACAGAGATTGCTTCCATTTGATCGATGGAATACAAAACATTAAGGTGTATGTTCAATAAAAAACTCTGTTTTTTTGTTTCAACTGCTTAGATTTGAAAACTTAAAGTAGACAAACATATTTACATAGATGGTGGGAAGATGTGCGTACATTTTGAGTGAATATAAACATATGAATGTACATACGAATGTACACACACACACACACACAAACCAATGCACACACACATACGTACATGCTAACACCCACACCAGTGCATAACAAGAAAGGCAGACAAGAAGGTGTAGGCAGACGCGGTCGTGGATGCAGGTAATGGATGATCTGGGAGGTTGGTGTGAGTAAACAAGCGTGTCAGCATGAATATGCATATGCATAAGTGTGTGGACGTTTAATGTCTTTGCACGTGGCGTCGCTATTGAAGCCGGTCCGCTGGGTTATGAGAATGCGTTTAGATGTGTGTGTGTGCGAAGGTAAATATGTATTGATGTGTTGATGTTTCTGTATGTGTTGATGTTTGTGTATGTGTTTTTGTGCTGGTGTGCTTGCGTGTGAGTTGATGTTAGTGTGTGTGCGTCGTGCAAGTGTACGCACACCTCTCTTCATCCAATTAGATGCAAGTTTCTATGTATGCGTGTTGTTCAACTGCATTTTTGTACGGGTGAATATGATTTATGAGAAGTTTTCCTCCAGTTGCAGATAAAGTTTGGATGATGCGACTTTGTTGTTTTGAAACAAAAATCGAATAGGGATGGCTTGACATTATTGAAATGAATAACCAACTGATATTAAGTGAATTTAGATTTATTTATTCATCATTAGATAGGTCCAGATCACTTGAATTGAATCTCCTGTGGAGCTATACTGGCTGATATCGTGCTGCGACCTCATGGTGGGTAGCCATCTAGTTTAGGTTTCCAGTTTTCTCTTGCGGGTATCATACGTCCACTTTCCCTTTTTAAATTATTGTTATTATTTTGAAATATATTTCATGGCCATAATTGTGACTGCCCTATTTTGCATGCCTGTAAAAATTGTTTCTTTTAATTGAACATTCTCAACTTCACAAATTTCGTTTGCTCAGATGAGTTTAATTTTGTTTGACTTTGCTGGTTTTAAATTAATGGTTTTTTTTGATATAGCACTTTATATGACACCAAGATAGCATTCTACTGATATGTGAAATCTTGTTATCAAAATGTTGTTTCAAAAATAAAAACTTCCAGTAAAGTCAAAAGGTTGAGTTATCTGATGGAGGAAGATAGTTTGCAGATTGTGGCCAGAATGTGAAGAACCATTTAGAACAATCTCGTTTGAGAACATTGTGTGTTTAATTTC